GCTATTGGGCAGGGGCGTGTGGGGGGCTTAGGAGTGACTTTGGGGAGAGGAGAAATGCAGGATGGAGCATAGGCTTGGGTAGGTGCAGGGTAAGGCAGAGGCGAATGGTGGCATTTCGGTCCAGGGTGGATCTGGGGCATAGAGTCAACGGCCAGTGACAAAGGTGAGGACAGGACAGGGGAGCTGGGGGTGGGTGCAGACAGTAGAGGTATGGAGCTGGAGGCTGGGGCATAAGTGATGCTGGGGTCCCACAGGGCCGGGATGCTCAGAGTTGGAAAGCATGCAGGGTTGGGGTGTAAGCTGGCACTGGGGGGGAAGCAGGAAAAAGGGACACATGGGCTTCAGGTTCTGGGTGCTGGTTGGGGTCGCTCTGTGCAAAGAGTTTTGAGATACACACAGAGTAGGGGTAGAGGTGGGGGTGGGGCAGAGGCTGAAGTCTGGGAGGATTGGGGTTTCCAACCAGGCTGGGGTCTGCATGGTGTCACAGGTCCGATGGGGTCAGAGGGCAGGTAGGGGCTGGGCTGTAGAGGTATCTGGGTGGTGGATGGAACACAGGATATAGTCGAGAGTCGGGGTGTGCTGGGGCCCACTCACTCTTGGAGCCATGCACGCAGACGCCATGGACGAAGGCCAGGTGCATGTGGGATACCTGGCTCATGAGGCTGGCTGTCTCGTAGAAGGCCTGTGGGGACAGGCCAGATCAGGTGGCCGCACACATCTCCCCATCCCCCTGCCCTCTGGCTGTGCTCACTTACCAGGGCGATGCCATGGTGGCTGGGGTCCAGCACCTTCAGCACCACTCGCAGCTCCTGCCCATGGCCCCTGCCTGCTGTGGGGGAATCCCCACCATCTGCCTTGTCTTCCTCAGGTCCTCTGTCACCCACTCTCAGGAGGCCCTCATACACATTGGTCCTTGTGCCCTGGCCTAAGTGGGACAGCTAGGAAAACATGACAGGGAACATCTCCATGACAGCAGCTGGTAGCTGCCCTCCCCAGAGCCCACATGCCCTCAGGGCCTCCACACTGGCACACACCTGGGTGATGTCATCCTGGCAGACCCGGTGGAAGCTGAGCTGGCTGAGGCTGAGAGGCTTGGTGCTGGCCTCAGGCCCCCACCTGATGATGAGGTTGGAGATCTCTGGCGGTGAGAGCAAAGTCATTGAGGGCCGGCATGGGGGAGCTGCCGCCCTATCCACCGTGCACCCCATTTTACCTCCTGGCTGTGGCAGGCAGCAGTGGCGCAGGGAGAAGCAGTCATCACCGGCCCGCAGCAAGTAGCCCTGCAGGGCAGCCCGAAGCTCACGCACACTGGGGAAGGACCTGTCCCAGCTCTCCAGCGTAAAGGTCCCTGCATGCAGCTCAATGGGGAACTTCCGCAGGCGCAAGCACTGTCCGCCAGGTGCCTGGGGGCAGGGAGGCAGGTGGCAGGGTGAGGGCAATGAGCAGGGGCTCAGGCAGGGACTGTACCCAGCCACAGCCCCAGACCCCTGCCCCCGTCCCACCTGGTCTTTCTGGGCCACCGTAAGGATGAGGCGGTTGAAGTGGCTGGTGCTCCAGTGGATGAGATAGAGGCCATCCTCTGGTCGCAGCTTGGCCAGCACGAATGGCTCCCTGTGGGGGACAAGGGGGCAGCGTCAGGGGGCAGCACCTGGCAATAATGACACACAAAACCTGCACAGAGGGGCACATTCTCAGCTGTCGCTTATATGATGACACTGAATTTGGGACACACACCAATATAACTGTCACACAAGACAACTCACATGGAGACACAGGCACAAGAACAGGCACACACTTGTGCGTTACAACTGTCAGATACCATCACTGACACAGCACACACACACAGAGACAGGAAATAGCTGTCAAATACCCATGGCATACACCCAGCCGCAGACACAGCCAACTCACAGAGTGACATACCATGGACTGTCTGTCGTACACTCAAAGGACAATGATCACAGATACAGCCACTTACCCAGTATAACAAGGTGACACAGGAGCATCGACATCCCAGACCCAGAGGTGACAACTGTTACAAGCACAAACAACCACTACAAGGTGACACAACTACACAGGCCCAGGCACCTACACACATGGTGGCTCATATGCTACTACAGACTAAATGTTCGTGTCCCTCTAAAGTTCGTATGTTGAAGCCCTAACCCGCAATGGGATGGTATTAGGAGATGGGGCCTCTGAAAGGCGATTCAGTCATAATGGCGGAGCCCTCTTGTATAGGATTAATGCCCCATAAAAGGGACTCCAATGAGCTCCCATGCCCCCTTTCACATGTGAGGACACAGCAAGACCACTGTCTTGAACCAGGAAGTGGGCCCTCAAATGCCCCATAAAAGGGACTCCAATGAGCTCCCATGGCCCCTTTCACATGTGAGGACACAGCAAGAAGACCACTGTCTTGAACCAGGAAGTGGGCCCTCGCCAGACACCAGATCTGCTGGTACCCTGAACTTGGACTTCTGGCCTTCAGAATCGTGAGAAATAAATGTCTGCTGTTTCTAAGCCGCCCCAGTCTGTTGTATTCTGTTATAGCAGCATGAACGGACTAAAACACACTGACATGGCCCACAGACCTGCACACACCTAGCTGTGACGAGGGACAGCCATAGCTCTCATGAGGTGAAATGGCCACTTCATCGTCCCCTGGTGTAGAGACGAGACTCAGAGGGGTCAGATCTCTTAAAAACTCCCAGGCACCCATCTCAGAGTTACACATAGGACAGGGGACACCCAGGCACAAGGCCAATGGCCAGACGCCAACAGTCACAAACCATGACCTGGCAGCATGCAGGACAGCCACACGTGCATCTGATGACTGCATAAGCTCTGATACTACACATTCTCAGCCCTACAAGTCCAAACAGAAGAGCTCAGTGACAGACACACCCCTGCTCTCTGAATGGCCACCAGTGTTTGTGTAACACAGCCCCTCAAAAATCACCCATCTCGTTGCGTGTGAAAAAAATGCATTGATAATTTTATACATAGTCACTAAGCAGTGACACAGCTGCACACCAAATGGGCTGTTAAACATCCACTCAGTGACAGTCCCAAACTCAGACTCTCCCATCATGACACACCACCCCTCTCATTGCAGGTGCCCTCTCTCTCCCTGTAACTCCCAGTGTGCCACACTTGTATGCATGCACACACATGCATGCACACTCATAGCATGCTCACGCATGTGCGTGTACACAAGGCAAGCACATGTGAGTGCACTTCCACACGTGCACTCACACAAGCACACACAAATACAAACTGATGCACACGGTAGTATGAGTGAATACTTGCATATATAATGCATGCACCCACAAACACACGTGTTCACACCTATAGGTACACACTAGACAAACGCTTGTACACGTGTGTGCACATACACACTCATGCAAATGCATGCACGCACAGTTGCACACACAGGCGCACACTGAGACATGAATGCACAGAAACATGTGCACACACCTTGTTTGCGTCTCACAGTTCCCAGAGCTCTGGGTCTAGTTGGCAGCTGCTGCCACCATGGCCCACACCACCCAGCTGCCTTTCCGGGCACTCACAGCAGGGGTCCGTGGACACCATCCTGGATACTCATCACCAGCCGTGGAGGAGCCACTTCATGGCATAGGTAGTGGTTTGAGTCGGCCGTCAGGCGGAAATAGCCATCCACCAGTGATACCAAGGACAGGGCCATGGCCCGGGAAGGCAGAGTCAGCTTCTGTAGGTCAGGGGGATGTCAGGCAGGTGTCGCAGGCTGGAGGCACTGCACCCCCACCCCCAGCCCAGCCCCTAGTCCTGGGCCTCACCAAGCACTTGTCCTGACAGTGGATACTGACATGGCATTCTCTCAGTACTACGTGGGTGATGTCCTGGAAGTCACAGAAGTAGGTCCATGGCGCCTCCTGCAGCCTGTCCACAGGTTGGGTGACTGACTCTTGGGCCTTGATTTTCTTCCCAGATGAGCCGGCATGGGGATTCCTTCTCCTGCCACCATCACCACCACTGGGACCCTGGAGATCCAGCATGGCGGTGGGTAGATTTGAGCAGAGATGTACCTGTTTAGTCCCTGCACATTCCCTCTGAGGAGAGGCTGGAGCTGGAGGGACCAGGCAATCTTCTCAAGCACATCCCCTCAAGTCCTGGTGTCACAGGTGGGACAGGGAACATACCCCCAAGACATACACATGCCAGAAGCCAGAACCTCAGGGAAGGCAGAGAGGAGAATCCTAGCCCTCAGACCCCCAGATACCAAAGGGGTTCCCAGAGGTGCAGACCCCAGAAATCAGGTCCCCAGAGGGCAGGCAAACAGGACGCTCCTCAAGAAACAGACCCCAGGGGACAGAAGGACGACACACAACCCAAAGCCATGTCAAGAAAGGGCTTACCACTACTCCCCTCAGAGACCGAGGCCAAGACTGAACAGGAGCCCCTGCCCAGCCCTACCTGGACCCCTCCAAGACGTGCCATGCTCACCTCTGCCGGTGCTGGCCGCCACCGGATGCCACCAGTGCCAGTCACCAGCACCTCATGGGTAGGGGGTCCTGGAGCAGACTCGGGCCCAGGGTCCGGAGGGGCCTGACTGCTATCCTCGACGTAGCACGGCTTCCCCTTGGCCTGGGCCAACAGCTCTAGGTGGCACACAGGCACGCACTCCGAGCCAAAGCGGGGCGCCAGCCGCTCGAGTGTGGCCAGGTACTTGACCATGATGACCTGTTGGGAGAGGTGGCCTGGCTGGAAGGCCCACAGGAACTTGTGGAAGATGATCCACAGGCGCAGTTGTGTGAACGCGTTGTGTTGCTGGATCTGTTGCCGGAAGGAGCGCGGGATGCAGTCTTTGAAGCTGTGGGGACAAGCAGGAGGGGCTGGTCCCGTGCCTGGGTCATAGGCATGGCTGGGTGACATGGGGCGAATGGCTTAACCTTTCTGAACCTCTGCTGCCTCATCTATAAAACGGGCAGGCTGTTGTGAGGTGGAAAGAGAGCACGATAAAGGGTCTGCATAGGGAGGCTGGGTGGTGTCAGGGCCCAGGGCCCAGAACTCAGGAGGGGACTGCAGGGCTGAAATCCCAGCTCTTGGGCAACTTCCTTAAGCTCTAAAGGGCTCTGTCTGCTCATGTGTAAAATGGGTTCAAACAGCGCCCACTTGTAGGGCTGATGACAGAATTAGGACTACTGACTGGCACATAGTAAGGACCATATCAGTGTCAGCTGTTTTTATTAGAGAAGTCATTGTTTTTACTATTACTCTTATGATTATCAATAAAAGGCACAACTCTTGGGGGTTCTTCTGCTCCTTAAAAATGCTTTCCCCCAGACCCCCATCAGCTGCCTTGCACACAACCACTAGCATAGCTCCCCTAGAGTACAGGTATCCAAGCCTTAGTCTCCATGTCCCAAGCTCTCTCCCCAACCCCTTGACCAGAGGGATCCGAAAGCCTGAGGTTCTAGCTGCCTCACGCCCCCACTTCCAAGCCTTCCAGGAACCCCCACTGTCCGTAGGAAAAAGGCCCCCCAACTACTGCTTTGCTGACTCTTGCACATGGGCAATCGTATTCCAAACTCAGTTCCCCTGGGAACAGGCTTTTGCCACTTTTTGCCTCTGGGCCTTTGTATATACCGTTCTCTCTGCCTAAAATGCATTGCTGATGCAGTCCACATCTGGAAAAAACCAACTCGATCTTCAGGTCTCAGCAGAAACATCACCTCCCCTGGGAAGTGTTCTCTGATCTCCAGGCTGGATAGGCTGCTTCCTCTGGGCTTCCTAGATCTCTATCACAGCCCTAGTCATCCAGAGCAATAACATGATGGTGACTGAAAAATATGTGCTTTAAGAATTACTGGGCTTGAAAGACCTAACTCTCCTGCTGCCTCTTCCAGGCAGTGTGCCCTGGTTGCCCCAGCAGTAGGCAGTGGAGGTGAGTGTGGCTAGTGCCTTTCTTCCCTTGAATTATAGGGAGCTCTCCAACCTCAGCCTGCTCTAGCCACATTTTCTCCAACACGTATCAAGTGCAGTCCAACCTCAGGGCCTTTGCACTGGCTGTTTCATCTATATAAAATTCTCTTCTCCCAGATACTGACATGGCTCCCTTCTTCATTTCCTTCAAATCTTTGAATGTGAATGTCGCCTGCTCGGTGAGGAATTCCCTTGACTACCCCTGACACTCCCTTTCTTCCTCTTTTCCTGCTCAATTTTTCCCCATCGCACTTATCGCCGTCTAAAGCACTATATATTTACTCTTATTCTCTTTACTGCCTGTCTCCTTCACCAGATGTGAGCACCAGGAGGGCTTGTTCACTGTCTGTCCTCAACACCCAGAACTAGCACCAGCATACAGTAGGTGCTTGATTAATGTCTGCTGAATGAATGAAGGCATGGCAGTATGCAAGGCCTGCCTTGGCCCTCCGATGTCCGGGTATTTCCAGCCGCCTTCACAGTGTCTCTGCCCCATTCCCAGATACCTGATCTTTCTGGCCACCTTCTTTAGGGGAACACCAAGGCAGACAGCGAGGTGGCAGAGGTGCAGAAAGGCCATGCCCAGGCTCTCATTCTTAAAGTGGTGGATCTCCTCCTCGTTCGACAGGTCCCACAGCGATGCTACGTCATTCACAAACTCATGCTTGCCCTAGGGATGGAGAAATCGAACTAAAAGGGAGGCTTGAGAACCTGTTCACTCACCAGCTTCTGGCCACTTTGGGGAGTGGAGGGACGTCCCATTTTCTAGAAAAGCCAAATACATAGCAAGCACGCCTCCTCTGCCCAGCCCTATGCCTCATCACTGATCGG